CACCCACACCCTCAAGATGGAAGTAGACCTGGCAGCAACTAGTCACTCATTGGCGCCCCTCCGGGGCGCCACTCGCGGCTAGCTGCTGCACTGGGTTATCTCCAGAAGTGCCGCTTCGTAGTGTTGGGATTCATTGAATAAAAGTCAATAGGCGAAGTCAAATGGGTCTGAATAAGGAATATCAGATACAAAAAGTTGAAAAAACTATGTCAAGACAAGGATGAGAGCCGGTTTTTATGTTTCGACAAAATAACTGAATAGTTCGTCAGAATAAAAGTATTACTGAAAGAATTTATATTCGCTGCATCGGTAGTGAACATGAATGAAATAAAAGAATGTTTCTTTTGGAATATGGTTTTTGTTTGTATTAATTCAAGTATCTGAATGTACATTGATATATTCAAATTACCTGTCTAGTCTTATCACTACTTTGAATAAGAGCTTGTTGTATATATCAGATTTCGATTAGAGATAAGATATAATATGTTTTATTTTTGGCTAGGGGTTCCACAGAACTTCTATTTTTCGAGAGAACTCTATAGTCAACAGCATTATCGAGGAATGTTCTAGAATGTGTACAAATTTCTAGTAGAATTTTCAAAAAGTACTCTGCGTTTTGGTATAATTTTTGTGAACTTGTATTGCTATATCGTCTGTGAAAAATTGAATATGATATCTTGTTCAGTCGAGGGCTAAGCGAGTCGAAGCGACGAGCGTTACTTGTTAATATGTTTCAAAGAATAAAATCATATAAACAAATTAAGAATAAATAAAATTTTGTCTTTTGTTATGAGAAACAAATATTTTTTTTTATAGAAAGAGGAACGTCTTAGGTCCCAAAAATACATCCATATGATTGTGTACATGTTTATTTGCAGTGAAGTATATTTACAAGTAGTGACAACAGATAATGTCATGTGTTGATGGCCAGATAAATTAAGAAGGGTAAATGGTTTTTCTCTCCTTCAAAAGAAACAATACAAAGAGAAAAGCAAAAGCAAGTAATTATAACAAGATATAGTTATTTATCACTTGATTTTGATCGATTATGAATATCTGAATAGTAAGAAGAAAAAAACAAGCATATATCATCGTTGTATATAGAAGCTGCAGCAACTGGGAAAGTTCAGCAGAATAAATATTTGTTTTTTTTCTATACATCATTCGATAGAGATTGTCGAACTCAATATGAATATAGACGAATTTTTGGTTTTCGAATGAATATTTTTAGTGAAAATCTAAAAGTTCTACAATTTGAAAAACAGTAAATAAATAGACACAATTCAGAAGATACTTATTAGCAGGTTTTCAGTTTTATTAGTTTTTGCTGAAACTTACTGATGTAGATGGATGATTTTAGGATCATTGTCGTTATATAATTTTTAGTGCAGGTGAAGAAACATCAACAATTTTGGCGTTCGTGAAATGTTTGTCGACGAGGAAAGAATGATCTGGCGGCATCTTGAATCAGTAATCTAGTGTGATGTTTTATTTGAGAACATTTGTTCAAATGTTATATCATTAATACATGTCTCATGGAACAGTGAGACGGACTACATAAAAGTTTCACAAAGGTATATGTTTGCAGAGAAATTGAACTGGCAGTAAGTATGTGTGTTATTAGGAAATTATTCATTGATTGCCTATTTTGCTTGTAAATATTGACCGACTTAACATATTTTGATAAAAAATGATACCCTTATAACATAGCTCGAGTAGAAAGCCATTAATTACATTTTTTCTGAAAGATTTTTAACACCATTAAGTTCATGTTTCATGTTTCATGTTTCAGGTTGTTACAGACGAAATTAGTTCTCATAACGAGAGCTACATAATAGTCTTATTACATACATACAGTTGAAATATCTCGATATATAAAAGCAATACAACTTACAGTTGCACCAACAAGTATTTGATGATTGCTTATTTCACATGACTTGGAGGATTATCAGAGTCAGACCTCCCCCTATCCTTTCTTATATGAAAACCGTTTTTTGTGCACCATAGTAATTCATGTATCTTTTTATATAATAGATGGTAGTTCAAGTTCACTTCGATTGATTAGAGAGTTGCCTTTCGGTGTTGAGTGAAGATCAAAATGCATACAAAACGTATCAAAGTTAAATAGCAGAAAAAAAAGCGATTATACAAAATAATGTACTTCTAAGTGTGTGGATGGGTGTGGGTGTGGGTGTCTGTGCGTGTGGATGAGGGTGAGCATGGGGTGGGTAGGTGTGGGTGCCTGTGCGTGTGGGTGAGGGCGGGCATGGGGTGGGTAGGTGTGGGTGTCGGTCGTGTTTTTAATTCATCTGACACCAATACCCACATCCGCATCATACCCATCCCACACCACCCCCACACCCACATCACACTCACACCCACATCACACCCACACCCACACCCACACCCCACCCACACCCACCTAGAAGAGCTTGCATTTTTAGTGTTGGTACCTCCTTTAGTAATGCTGCAATGCCTCACATGCATGAGATATCTTCAAACTCTTAAATTTTACTCATTTCTTATCGGCATTAGTTGACCTGAATGTATGTAAACGCTTGAAAGAGTGCTGACGTCTTCTTTATGTACAGCAGCATTTATGCGCGCACATTCATAGTCGCACTCACACTGTTTTTATACTCACACTTTTCTTTCTGCTTATATCATTTAATTAGGGTTTATTCAAAAATAAATAAGATAGAAAATGAATCGATTCAGAAGGCAAAAATCCATATTTCTACTGTTGATCTTCAACAGTTTTTGTTGATGGTATTGATTCTGGTTTTCTTGTTTACTTTTCTATTTTTTCGAGTGCTCTTCGTACTCTTTCGTATATGCTATTCACTTCGTTAAGTGCTGCTATACTGGCATCTGTCGCTCGCTTGGCCTGTTTCTCCGCTTCTCTAGCATCAGCTGCTGCTCTTTCACTTTGTTGTCGTGCCTCCTTCGCTTCTGCCATAGTCTTTTGCGCTTCTTTCTTCTGAATCTCCAGTTGGTTTTTCGTCAAATTTTGTACATCTTTTGTGGTTGATATTAATTCTCGAGCAATTCGTACTGATTCTTTAGCATTTGCAGCAGATTCATTAACTGCTTCTTGTGCACTTTGAAAGTCACGCTCAATCTTTTTGAGTGCTGATTCGAATTCTTGACTTCTTTGTTCCGCCCATTGTACAACCTTTTGAACAGAGACTGCAGCTTCTGCTGCTTGTTGTGCCGATTTTAGACTAGCTTCAGTTGCTTGATTAGCTTGTGCAACTGCTTGTATTGATTGAGTCTTAGCTGATTCAGCGATTCTCAGCATTTCTTGAGTTTTTACTTGTATCTCTTTTTCAATTTTGGTCATCAATTTCTCGATGAATTGTTCTAAACGCTTTTCAGTGTCTTTATATTGTTCGTTTAACTTGTTCCATACTTGAAAATAATGTGTTTCATTATCTCTTTTCATTGTTTCTCGATTTGCTTCCGATTCTTGCTTTATTTGCTCATGAGCAGCATCGATCGATGTTTGATAAAAGTTTGCTTTTTGTTGAATTTCTTCTCGTAAAACATCGACACTTAGTTCAATTGTTTCTCGTGCTCTTCTCAATTCCTCTTTCACACCATTTGAATCGAGAAAGATCTTTTGTTCTCGAAGGACTTCAGCTATTTGATTAGCTGTTTCTCTTGTGAGCAATGACTTGTTAAAATACTGATCATGTTGACTTATATAAGTTTGTGCATATTCAATAATATCTTCGAATCTCGTTAGAATATTTCCATGTTTATCTCGTTTCGCTAAGTCTAACTTTCGTCCATCGACAATCATTTGTAATGCTTTGTCATCTGGTGAAAATGGTGTCACATAAACATAGCCAAATAGTTCCAAATTGTCTAGTTCATCTTCATAAGAATTTTTCGGTATAGAATATTGATATATACTACCGTCATTACCAATGACAGAAACACAACCAATCAGATAACGTAATTGTACTTGTTTAAGAATTTCTTCGCCGATGTTATTTCTTACTTTCAACGGAATCTTCTGTTGTCCGGCGGAAATTCCAACAACATCAGATAGTTTGGTTATTTTTTTCTGATCAGTGGGGTCAGTTTTGGCTACATGTAGCCAAAGCTGCTGTGGCAATGGTTCAGTTGGAACAATTTTATCTTTTCCTGTCTTAATTCCATCAATTATCCAGGCCGTAACATATTCAGCAACCATGATAACAGCTATTTCTTCAGAATTTTCTGGTCGAACATCATAGGCTTGTTTCAACCAACACATCTTATCGTTGAATACATTACTACCCTTGATCTTTTTGAATGGATCAATAGACTGTATTTGCTCTCTGTAGTAAAGTGTTACAAGACCAGCGGTGTCCGATGCAATGCGTCTGAGTTCTTCGATATTGCCCAAAATTGAAATATTATACCATTCTTTCTTTTGTTCTTTTTCGTTAAGTTTGGATATCATAGGATCAAGTACTGCTTTTATGCTTGCTGACGCCACATTCACTAAATAACAAAGAAGACCTCTTTTAATTAATGTTTCTATGGTATTGTTTTAATATAATTTTTTAGGTCACTACGATATGAGAACAAAACAAAACTATACAAAGATTCGATTTGCTCACTATGAAAGAGATGAATCCTAATTTAGTTCTCATGTGCATAGAGGTTGAGATAGATAAGATTTGGTTAGGATCCAGATAATCATATTGAACGTACAGATTTGGCAAATATCTCTAACCACACATTCTTAGACAGAGTCATGGACTTAAACTTCTTGGAATACAAGCATAGATGTTTATAAATGAAACTAAACAACATTGACCATTCTAATAGTTAACCCTACTTACATATAGGAATTTTCATTGAGAGCATATTGACTATTGTTCCTGTTATACCGGATTTCGTAGTTACTTCTGTTTTCAAATAACCACCTTGCGCTGCTAGAGCACTATGAAACAAAGCCTCCAAATGATTCTCTATCGTTCGATAGAATATTATTAAATTATTGTTGCTTTTGATGAAATTGATCGTTTTTCGTCTTATCAGTATTGCCTCTTGTTGACGTTGAAATAAAAATATCGAGCATTCATAAGTAGCTAATTGTTGTGCATATGTTTCTTTTTCTTTGGCGAATTCTTTGCGTTGTATTGCTGTGAGACGTTGTTGTTTGAAAAGGCGTTCATCAGCATCTTGTATACGAGCTTGTAAAGAGTCTCTACTTTCGTGCAGTTGTGTCAATTGTTGATCGATTTTTGTTAATCGTTCCTTTGTGGTGGCCTCATCTTGATCAATTAGTTTCTTTACATCTTGCTCACTGGTGACTTGTTGTAATTCTTGCGAACGTTTTGCCACACTTGTAGTCAAAGCAGAAAAAAGGTCTCTATACGTATTTGGATCAGCAGGATCGAGCACAACTGGACTATCGGCAATTATACTGCTAAGTCCACTCAAAAACCCAAGCAAAATTTTCTTATAATAGTCATTCAATGAAACTACACTACCTAATTCCATATCCGATGCCAGTTCTGTTCTCAATTTTGTATTGTAATAAGGTTCAAGCATGTCTACAATTTGAAACTGTGTGGCTTTCTTTGCTATTTGAATCAATTCATAGCATATTCGTCTTTTCTTCTCTTTCGATTCGTAACGTTCGTCGATGAATTCTCGGATGATTTTTACATTACTTTTACTAGCTGCTTGTACAAGTGTTTCATAATCGTGCTTAGGTTTATTATCTTTTGTGTCGTCTTTTGAGGACTCTGGTACGTCTTCGCCAGTTTCAATGAGCTCAGCAATGCGTGTAAATTTTAGTTTTCGTGCTATTTCCAAAGCAGTTAGACCAGATCTGTTTGTTTGTGTTTTTGTAGTTGGGTATTTTGTTACAAAAAATTTCACTATAGCATAATCACCTAAAATAACAACATATGGAAACAGACTTTACCATAGAAGTACTTAGGAATGAATTTCTTGCATGTTGATAAACATGGGAAGCATCACAAAGCGGTGTTTCATGTAATGCGTGGTTATTTTGTACGCATCAGAAACCAATTAATATGGAGTTATACCTTATGAACGGATCGATTCGTTCGTTCATCGTTTTGTTCCAAATGTTTTAAAATGGATAACTATCATTGATAGTAAGAGAGCGCTTCTTTTATAGAGCTCAATATTATATACAGCTGCAGCTGCGCTTTTTCTAAAGCAACTCTGCGGCAAAAAACTATTTAAGCTTCCTTTTATGAAACTCATTGTGAAAAGATAGCAGTTGAAAGTGATTACTTACCTATTTTGTGTAGGCGTGAACTGAGTGAATACAAACACCCACACCCCTACTTTTTCAAAATTAACTCACTGTTTCAATTACCTTTCTCAGTTGCTTGAATTATTGGATAATCGCCATTGATATCACATATTGTCGGAGTACTACCACATTCACATAACCAAGTTACAAGATTGACATCATGATATTGCACAGCGTAATGCAATGCTGTATGCTTTTGCTCATCTTGGTAGTTAAAGTCAGCACCTAGCTGCGCAAATTTTTCTGCACTTTCTCGATCATTGTTGAGGATCGCGGACATGAATTTTATATTCAGTTCTTGTAATAAATAGTTGGCTATTTGTTTATAGTTTCGCCTATTAGCAAGATCAATCAGTGATATCGGCTCAACGTTATTTGAATGTAAAATTGATGCACCACAAGAAACGAGCGCATGAACAATTCGAAAGTAATTTCCATGTTGAATACTACTTAAGAGTGCAGTTGAGCCATAGCAATTGACTGAATTAATGTCAGCACCAAGACGTTGGCATTGAATCACACTCTTCAGATCACCACTGGCAGCTGCAAATCGCAATCTCCGATTGATTAGGAACTGATGTATACAATGTGCAATCTCAGGTTTCAGCTGTTTCCAGAAAGTTTCTTTTAGTTGCATAGTTTTTTCAGAGAGCCATTCTGATGGCATTTTTGCACCATGTTGACAGAGAAATTGAACTAAGTTGATATTTTGATGATTTAATGCTTCGTTTAGATTATTTGTATCTTGCATATCGACACTGGCTCCGCCACATACCAGTGTCTTCACCATCTGAAGATTATTTTCTTTCACGGCTTTTGTACATTCAATTGATAATCGATATTTGAGATACGCAGTAACTTTGCTGAATTTCTTCTCTTTTGCAATTAGATATGGACACCTAGATGACGAATCATTTATTATAGCTTGATTAATATCCATACTTTGGTTAATCAGATAATCAATAATTTCGACATTATCGGATGCACTGCAAGCTTTGTATATTAAGTCAGCAGTTAGTGACGCTCCTGCTAGATGATAGGCCATGACAAGACCTGCGTTCGACTGGTCAATAGCTTTGATTATGTTTATTTGCGCGATCTTTCGAATCATATCTGCAATTTGTTGACAACCGCTTGAGATTGTTTGAATACGCGAGCGATCCGTTAAACTCAGCGTCGAAGAACTCAACTTGAGGCTGTATTCTTTTATGGATATTTGTGCCACTTCATATGGAGTACGATTTCCTTTTCGATGAAGAATATCAGCTCCTTGAGCAATAGCTTGTTCAGCAGCCCAGAAGGCTCCAGTTTTTGCTGCATCGTGCAAATTATGGTTGGGACTCTGAAAAACAAGATCTTTAAATTTCTTTTGCCAAACGTTATCAGAACCTTTAGTAGTGATTTGTATATGATTGATGGCTACTGGTGCCCCTAGTTCACAAGTATCAAGATCACGACTGGGTTCTGTTGTGTTCAATGGCTGTTGAACTACATCCTCCACCGGAGGACAAATCAGCTGTTTCAGAAAACGAATCAATTGTTTATTACTCATTTCTTCTTCTTCGTTTTTAGATGTATTTGAACGTGCTATATGTAGTGAAGTTTGTCTTGATCGATTTTGTGCTTGATGGTCAGCACCCCATCTTACAAGATATCGAACAACAAGTAAATGGTGATTTTTCGTGGCTAAATGCAAAGGTGTTTGGTGGTCTTTGTTGAATATATTCACACTTGACTTTGGTAAACTACGCAAATATTCAACAATCGACAGATTACCATACTCAGCGGCGACAGAAATAGGATAATCACCATTGTGATTCTGTAAGGTATAGTCAACTTCAAAGTGTGTAATAAGATATTGAACAAGTTGTTTTGTGGCTATTTTGCATGCTAAATGTAGAATGGTCCACCCTTGATATTCTTCATTTTCATATTGATGATTAATCTGAGCGCCGTATTTGATCCACCCATTGGCTTCTTTCATAATGTTTTCATTATTATCCTCGTTGATGTTCATATGCACCATACAATTCCACAAACGAACATTTAATTCATCTTGAATTATTTTTGCTGCTCCGTCACGTTTTGTATCAGTGGCGAACTGTAAAAGAGTTTTGTTCAACTTCGGGTTATGGAATAAGTCTATGGCAGCTTTTTGTAACTTGAAAAGTGTCGGCAAATAAACAAATGGATGTTCATCAAGCAGAATGCATGTTTCAATAGGTCGATATCCATTAGTGTTCATTGCAAATAAGTCGGCATGGAAATCATTCACGAAAGCAGTTACCATCTCTGGCGTACCTTTATTAGCTATTAAGAGATGAAGAAGTGAATCATTGTTGGTAAAGGTGACATTGATGTTTCCTCCATTATTGATTACAGTATGCACTTCCTCAGTAGTCAATTGCGATTTTTTTGTTTCAATCAGACGTTTTAGTTCAATACTCACGCCTTGTTTTTCTAGAAGGGCGATTAACGGATTATTTCTTGGTGTAGCTTTTTGAGCAATTTGTAAAGGCGTGAGACGGTCATAATTTTCATGCGCAGTATTGCAGCCTGCTGACACAAGAGCATTAGCAAGTGATAAACTATTGGCAAGAACTGCATTTGAAAGAATCGTATTTCCTTTCTCATCAATCGCTTCAATATTAGCACCTAGACGAATCCATGCAATCACTTTATTTGGATCGATATGGGGCTGAGTAAACGGAATTTTATTAATAATTGTATCCAGTTGTCGTTGAATATAATCAATAACATCTAGTGGACATTTTCGATTATTTTTTGCAAGTGACAAGCATGTTTGTTCTTCAGTGTTAGTGAGGATCAAACTAGATTTTGTGATTGGATCGCTCTCGATGAGAAATCGGACGACATCTAATCGAATAGGAACTGTGCCTTGTTTCAACAGTGCACCCAACAACCCTAATGGTCCATATGTAGTTGACTGGTAACAACTGCCCTTTAACTGAATTAATGTGCGCATCTTTTCGAGATCTCCACCATTCGTTGAAAACACTTGTGCACTCAATCGGTCGGAGGCGCCTGTCTCCAAGGCCTGAATCACATATAGACAGTTATCAGCGTTCCATGGTGCTATTGGTCGTAGTTGTTGTTCTTTAGCAGTAAGAAAATCAATCATCGAAGAGTGTTTAATAGTAGCTGTTATATCTGCGCCTTGTTGAAGAAGTCTATGAGCTTCACTGTAATAATTTTGTTCATCGGCTTTCTTCACGATTTTGATTAGATCTCTTGTTGACTTCAGCATCTTGAACAATTAACTATCTAGAGCAAAGTTTACACTACGTTGATCTGATGATTATGAAAGAAAAATATGAGATAGGAATGTTGTATTAGAATTAGCATTAGCATTAATTAATACTAATACGGATGCTTTCACATTAATATTAACTATTAATATTAGAGTGTGGTGTAAGTGTAGTATGCGTGTGCATTTATGTGTTTTTTAACGTATAGGAGAGTCATACGTACAGCCACACCTATTTCGAATTAGAAGGTATATAGAAGCACTAAAAATTTTTATTAAAATCGGTGAGTACTTTTATAACTTAAACTAGACCGAAAGAATGGTTTATGCAAAAAAAAATGAACTTTTTACCCTGATCTATTTCAAAAAGTCTGAAGAAACGAGATTAATTAGATATATTGGATAATAGATTAAGGCCAGTGTTTTATCATAGTATACTCTTATATGCTCTCGAGTTCTTCTTCTGTGAGGAAGCTCGACCAAATGCTTCGTTTTTTTAGTTATTCGTGAATAATAGGTAACAGTCTGTATTTTCTACTTATCCACAACAGATGTTCATTGAATCTTTCAGTATTATATTCTTTAATAGACATCAGATACATGCATCTAATACGACAGAAACTGATAAGAAAATTCATTATATTGGCAGAGAGAAGATATACCTGAAAATAGGCTAGTTTTGAAGTTTTGGTATTTCTCGTATAATTTTCGTATCGAATGAATCTATGAGCAACTGTGATTTAAATAAGCTGATATGATGTTATACATAGGCATGCACCGAACCCGAACTCGAGCTCGAAGTTCGGACTGAGCGGTTCGAGGTTCGGGATCGGTAAAAGGGTTCGGGTTGGGATTCCTGTATTAGGGGTGTGAATTCATTGTTATTAATAGCAATATCTTTCTTTGTTATTTGTTATAAATACCAAGTAAATAACAAATAACATTTTTTTCTGAAGAACCTACAACTATGGGTGGAAAGTTATCGTTACGTCCTCAATTAACCGGGAATACCGGTAACAGTCAGGTATGTGTCTCTTGTCTCGGGTGTGAGTGTGTGTGGCTGTGGCTGTGGCTGTGGGTG